AGAGCGGTGCTCTTGCCATTCCCACCGCGGGTTGTCAGAAGGAGTGAATGCGGTGCTATCTGAACGTGAACAGCTGTATGCGCTGCAATGATGCTGCGCTCGTATCCGGCCAGAGAAGCGGTAGAAGGCCTGCGTAGTCTGGTGATGGCAACTCGAGAGGTGGACAGATGCTGCAATGCGTCTCAACCAGCCCTTCCAATACTGCCCAGCTCCACTTCGGGACCTCCCTCTTTGCGCTTGCCCGCCGGTTCTGACTTGCCCTCGTCGCGTATCTCGGACTCTTTGGTGTCGTATCCAGGAGCGAAAGCAGCCATTGTGTCCACGACTAGCTTGGCATCCTCAAGAGCCGAGTTGCAGGCCAAGCGCAATTGTCGGACGGTTCGGGCTCGGATGGTGAGATTGAGGATGGGACTCTGGGAATGTACCTCGAAGGTGAGGTGGACGTCGCTGGGTTTGAGAGGCATGTCTGGGGAAAGTATCGTGGCGAGTCTTAGAGCATCTTCGTGCGTTGGAAGCGGTATGTCGACAACGCTGCGGACAATCAGATTTGACTCAGCTTTGATGGACCCCAGCAAAGTGAGAGACGACTCACACTCTGTGAAGCAGCTCGGGAGAGGGGTCACGCTTGGGCGCAGGAGCGCGAAAAACCTCAGACTGCTCAGTCTCGCCGCTTCTGACTTGCTCCACTGCCATCGCACACAGCTTTGCTGGCCGAGAGTCCAAATCACTTCGAGAGCGGTTTTGGTTGTGGAAGACCGGAATGCTAGCAGCGGAGCGCGAGTGGATTGCACCCAGAGTGGAGACCTTGGTGAGAGAAGGCAGAGTAGAGGGTGAACAGTGGACGAGGGAGGTCAAGGTAAGTAGTCAAGAATTAGTCTTCATTCCGAGCCGATCCACGATTGGGCAAAGTTGAGACCTGACGAGGAATTCAAAATTCAAGATTGAGAGGCTGAGCTGTTGACAGTCACGTGATTCGCACTGAGACCCCGACGCGTCGCGCGGGGCAGGCGCCGATGCTGCGTGTTGGTTCACCATCAGATGCTGCTATCGTGGGTGGCATGCAGCATTGATGCGTGGATACACTCATCAAGACTACAGCAGCAGCATCCCGAGCAGAGTCTCCCTGACCTTGCCCACGTCTGCTCTCACTCCCTGCCAGTCCCTCTACAACATTCCAAACCCTT